TAAAGCTGACTAAATCTAAACTGCAGCTCCACGGACGAGGGGGGACTGAAACTAAAGCTGACTAAATCTAAACTGCAGCTACACAGACGAGGGGGGACTGAAACTAAAGCTGACTAAATCTAAACTGCAGCTTCACGGACGAGGGGGGACTGAAACTAAAGCGGACTAAATACAAACTGCAGCTCCACGGACGAGGGGGGACTGAAACTAAAGCTGACTAAATCTAAACTGCAGCTACACGGACGAGGGGGGACTGAAACTAAAGCTGACTAAATCTAAACTGCAGCTACACAGACGAGGGGGGACTGAAACTAAAGCTGACTAAATCTAAACTGCAGCTACACGGACGAGGGGGGGACTGAAACTAAAGCTGACTAAATCTAAACTGCAGCTACACAGACGAGGGGGGACTGAAACTAAAGCGGACTAAATCTTAACTGCAGCTACACGGACGAGGGGGGGACTGAAACTAAAGCGGACTAAATCTAAACTGCAGCTACACAGACGAGGGGGGACTGAAACTAAAGCTGACTAAATCTAAACTGCAGCTACACAGACGAGGGGGGACTGAAACTAAAGCTGACTAAATCTAAACTGCAGCTACACGGACGAGGGGGGACTGAAACTAAAGCGGACTAAATCTAAACTGCAGCTGCACGGACGAGGGGGGACTGAAACTAAAGCTGACTAAATCTAAACTGCAGCTCCACGGACGAGGGGGGACTGAAACTAAAGCTGACTAAATCTAAACTGCAGCTACACGGACGAGGGGGGACTGAAACTAAAGCTGACTAAATCTAAACTGCAGCTACACGGACGAGGGGGGACTGAAACTAAAGCTGACTAAATCTAAACTGCAGCTACACGGACGAGGGGGGACTGAAACTAAAGCTGACTAAATCTAAACTGCAGCTACACAGACGAGGGGGGACTGAAACTAAAGCTGACTAAATCTAAACTGCAGCTCCACGGACGAGGGGGACTGAAACTAAAGCTGACTAAATCTAAACTGCAGCTACACAGACGAGGGGGGACTGAAACTAAAGCTGACTAAATCTAAACTGCAGCTACACGGACGAGGGGGGACTGAAACTAAAGCTGACTAAATCTAAACTGCAGCTCCACGGACGAGGGGGACTGAAACTAAAGCTGACTAAATCTAAACTGCAGCTACACAGACGAGGGGGGACTGAAACTAAAGCTGACTAAATCTAAACTGCAGCTACACGGACGAGGGGGGGCTGAAACTAAAGCTGACTAAATCTAAACTGCAGCTACACGGACGAGGGGGGACTGAAACTAAAGCTGACTAAATCTAAACTGCAGCTACACGGACGAGGGGGGACTGAAACTAAAGCTGACTAAATCTAAACTGCAGCTACTCGGACGAGGGGGGACTGAAACTAAAGCTGACTAAATCTAAACTGCAGCTACACAGACGAGGGGGGACTGAAACTAAAGCGGACTAAATCTAAACTGCAGCTACACAAATCATACACCATGGTACAAGCCGCTTATTTTAACTTTATTAACACCGCCTGTATTTAACCGAAGCTTCCTCCCTCTCCTCGCTCCTCATTGGTCAATTCAACACACGTGTTGATACCTGATTGGACAATTCAACACACATGCAGATATCTGATTGGTTATTTTAAGTCAAGTGCGAACACTTGATTGGTTTTCAGCAGGCACGTGGTATTTTGTAGATTGGTTATATTGGAAGACACATGAAACTTTCAACTTTTTAAATACGTCCTAGCTTTAAGTGGTACTATTATAATATGATTATAGAATATGTAATTCGATGTCGTAGTGTAGTAGTGTAGTAGTGTAGTAGTGTAGTAGTGTAGTAGTGTAGTAGTGTAGTAGTGTAGTAGTGTAGTAGTGTAGTAGTGTAGTAGTGTAGTAGTGTAGTAGTGTAGTAGTGTAGTAGTGTAGTAGTGTAGTAGTGTAGTAGTGTAGTAGTGTAGTAGTGTAGTAGTGTAGTAGTGTAGTAGTGTAGTAGTGTAGTAGTGTAGTAGTGTAGTAGTGTAGTAGTGTAGTAGTGTAGTAGTGTAGTAGTGTAGTAGTGTAGTAGTGTAGTAGTGTAGTAGTGTAGTAGTGTAGTAGTGTAGTAGTGTAGTAGTGTAGTAGTGTAGTAGTGTAGTAGTGTAGTAGTGTAGTAGTGTAGTAGTGTAGTAGTGTAGTAGTGTAGTAGTGTAGTAGTGTAGTAGTGTAGTAGTGTAGTAGTGTAGTAGTGTAGTAGTATGCACTGATGCCGGATGCGCGGATACGATACGAGGATTTTAAAACTATTTGTGTTATGGTTATATTATTATGGTTATTATATTAAGCAAAAAACCTTAATTGTAGTTACAATTTCGTCATATAATATTGAGGCATATTTAGCTTAGGCGTTTTGGTAGGTTATAAACCTAAAAATAGGAGGTGCACGATAAAAATAAACTTGCTCGGATTTAAAAAATTTTTGTACCACTGTTTTCTAGAGATTGTGAGAATTTCCCCAATACCAAATTTGTCATACCTTTTTGGAAAGATCAGTGAGTTTCGCCTAGGTGCCATATTTGATGGTGCGCGGCTTTTGGAGCAAAAGTAGCTGTAAAAGTCGCGTAATTTGACCAAATTGGTCCAAATTTGACCATTTTTGTCGTATTATTCGGATTTATCTTCAGTTCCTTAAATGAGATCATTCTGGAAATTGGCGACGACCTTCCAATAGGGCTTTCACAACTGTCCGAAAAATTTGGTGGACATCGGAGTTGATATAGTGATCAAAATGGGGCAAAATACGCTACTTTTAGCTGTAACATAATGTCTAATGGTTGGATATGCTTTAAATTTTTCGGACACTTTCCTTGTAAGTCTTTAAGTAAGCCTACCAATTTTTGTTGCAATTGGAGGTCGGGAAGGATACTCAATATCTATTTGTTTGAAGAAAATTGTGCTGGCCGAAATTAGCGCTAAAAAACCATCCTACAGTCGGCACGCGCGGGTTACTGTCGATGGCGCACTACCTACTAAAAACTAAATGCTGCGCTTAATTGCATGTCAGTGCACACAGAAAAATGTTTAACAACACGCAACGTACGGTCGTACGCGAATGTTATATAAAGCTAAGCTAACGTTAACGGGTGATACTCGTAAAATATCTGTTCCATAGATAAAATATTTGTTCCAGGACCGTCGACGAGTCCAACTCGGCGCGCGTCCTGGTAGGTTGTAAACCTACAAAGCTAACGCTCCTACTAAATCGCTCGCCCAAATTTAAAGAATTTTTGGACGCTGATTCCGAATCACCCCGCTTGACGTAAGGTAAAAATGCTTCTTTGGAGAGTTATGGGCAAAAAACTATTTTCAGTTTTGGTCACGTGACAGGCTGGTAAAATACGAATTCGATTGTTTAGGGCTCGGGTATAGGGTAACGGTTAGGGTTGTAGAAGGGTTATGGTTAGCTTCTATTCGGGGTTATGCCGTTATGGTTAGGGTTAGGGTTGGGATTACAGATTAGGGTTTACGTAAAACCGTTTTGTACGGCTGCAAAACCATAAAAACCAAAGTCACGTGAAATTTTTGGGCGAGCGAATTAGTAAAAGCCCTCCACGACGTTCGAGAATCTGATTAACGTTATAGTATAAAACTATATTGCAGTCAATTTGACACACGTCGCGTTGCAACCTTAATTTTTCGCACGCGAAGCTTTGACCTCAAAAGGCTTGATCTGATCTCGCCTCGGAGTGCACGCTTCGCGTGCACAATGCAAGAGAGGTAAACAACTGACAACGTGCACCAACAGTCTGCAATTCATTCGAATATTCTAAAATTTGCAAGTTGAATTGTTAATGTTAATACAAATATTGAAAATTCCCGAAAATCGGGAATTGAGAAAATTTTCCTTTTTTACTTTATCGTTCTGACGATACAGGGGGGCCGCGCACTCATGCGCGGCGGGTCATACAACATATGACAATGAATTTTAACACACAACTTATTTGATTGACGATGTCAATCCTTCGCATTTCGCCAATATGCATAAGTGGTTGCGAGAAGCATTATTGGATGCGCGCACGACCCAGTAGTAAGTGCATCGCGCTACAAAAAACTTATTTAATTATACCTTAATTTACCTGGGGACCCCAGGCTATTAATTATTTTGATAAACATATCCGCCGAATAGAAATTCGGCGGAATGACAGGCTGAGCGCCACCCAGTAAACCTTAATTGACAATGTCAATCCTTTGCAACTTAGTTAAGTGTGGTTTAGTGGTTCATCGCACCATTCACATAGCCATGTGTATATAATACGCGTAGTCGCGTACTGCGTGACGCGCTTGTTTCACAAGTAGAATATTTCTTCGGTGGTCGCGCGCTACTGCAAGCGAGAGGGTCTGGTTAGAGCAAATCGCACCGATCTAATAATTAAGAATATTTAATGCGCGGAGCGGCCCAGTAGTGCATCGTCCTACAATTTATACCGATAGTTATTTTTTATTTGAAGGGGACAATTGATAATTTGTTATATTAATCATTAGCTATTTTTTAATTTAAAATTAAAGTAAAGTAAAGTAAAAATTATGACATAACATCATCAGACATGTCCACTAAGTATCAAATCACTATATGGAAAAATACAAATACCTTACCACCAAATAAAAATAAATGAATTATTAACTACAACTTTATTTAAAAATCTCAAATAAATTCTAAAAGCATCCCCAAAAGATGACCCTATTCATACTTCCCAGTGGAATAAAGATTTATAAATCGCTTTTTTGCCACAAAAGGGTGGAAATAAAGATAATCGTTATGCTTCTCTTTTCATAGCTAGGTCCTTCAATTCTCCCTAATACTTCATTTGAAACATTCCAAAAATGTGAATCATTAGAAATATCCTTAAAAATCATATCTTTCTTAAACCCTTCTAATTTAAACTTAAAACTTAAAACAGTCACCGAGTTCTTAACATCTGGAGGGAGTTTGTTCCAGTAAGTTTTAATACTTTCAACACTACTATATAACAAATAATTTGAGGTATGACACCCGGAGATATGACACGATCAAGAGATGTCAAGAAAAGTCCAGTGAAGGTCGATATGACAGCGGATAATGGAGAAATTGAAGAAGAAGATCGTAGCTGTGAATGTAGAAGATATATTGCGGAGGAGTTTTCTTTGGCATGTGCAACTTGCGACATGTACTGGCACTACTGCTGTGTTGGGCTTACTGGATTAACGCAGGAAGAAGGTAACCACTTGACTAACTGGCGCTGCCAAAATTGCTTTATCTCTCCCCACATCAAGGGCACAAGAAGCCAGTCCACAAATCCAGACAGTGAAGAAACCAAGACCCTACGGAATGTTATTAGAGAAGAACTTGGTGCCCTTACTCCGTGTATTAGAGGAATTGTCGAAGATTCTGTGAGTCATACCAGTTCTTCTAATGATTCATCTGAAAAACCAAAAGAAATCACAAAAATTGTGAACCAGGCTTTCCAAACCTGGGCAGATGTTACTGCAAATAGTCAGAAGAAAGTTATTGAAGAAATGAGCCTACAGCAAGCTTCTCAAAGTGTTGTCAGTAAAGTTCAGTCAAAGATGCACACTGATGCATATGAGCGAAATTTAAGAAAGCTCAATCTGTGTGTTTTGAATGTACCAGAGAGCAAGAAAACTAACTCCAAGCTACGCCAGGAAGAGGACTCGAAGTTCTGCAAGGAGACACTAAAGATTGAAAAAAGTGACTTTATCAGTTGCCATCGTGCAGGTAAAGTGGATCCAGGTAAGCCAGACTCCTGTCGGCCATTGATCATCCAGACAGCTGACGAGGAGTCAGTTAACTATTATTCCAACCATGGCAAGGGCTGGAAAGAGTCATCATACTGGATAAATCTGGATCTCTGCAGAGCAGACCGAGAGATCCGTTTTTTAGCCAGAGAAGAGAGGAAGAAGAGGCGGGAAGAAGCAGAGAAGGAAAAGACAGAGAAGAAGGTGGAGAAGAAGTAAATAGCAGTAACAAAGAATGTAGTCAGCCCATGAATATATTTTATACTAATGCTAATGGACTATTTAATAAAATTGATGAACTAAAATGTATTCTATCAGTTTATAAATCCATTCATGTAATCTGCATTACAGAAACTCATTTTAATAGTGATATTTTAGATGCTGAAATTTTTATTGAAGGTTTTAGTATGTTTAGAAAAGACAGAGATTTTAAAATCGATAATTCCACTAGCAACATAAGTGGAGGTGGAGGTTCTATTATTTATATTAAAAACAGTTGTAATGCTTCATTAGTGAGCTCATTTTTAAAAGCACCAGACTCTTTAGCTATTAATGTCAATACCTCTGGTGGATTGATTAGTATTTGTTGTATTTATAGGTCTACTTCTTTGAATTTAAAACAGAATAATATGTTATTATCTTGCATCAAGAACATATCTAGTGAAAAGAATGTTTTTGAAACCATTATCATAGGAGATTTTAACCTACCTAATGTATCTTGGGAAACTGGTAGTGTAAACAGTGGTATTTCTAGTAAGAATCAGGTTTTAATGATTCAACAAAAGTATATTGATTTATTTAATGACAGTGGTTTGACGTGGTACTTTACTAACGAAACAACCAGAAGACGGCTTGTGAAAGATACTCTCCAGGAGAGTCTTCTTGATCAGGTTTTGTATACAAATGATGCTCTTGTCAACGGTTGTAAGATCGTTTCTCCGCTTGGCAAAAGTGATCATGTTGGGATACTTGTTGAACTGGTTGTTTCGCCCAATACTAACAAAAGTCCCAAACAAAAGATTTTAAAGCCTATTTGGGGTAAGATTTCCTCAGAAGAGTTATTTAACTTTAGTAAGAATAATATTGAATGGGATTATAGTTGTACAAATAATGTTCAAGATATGTGGGTTGAATTACATGGTAAATTGGAGTCTGTTGCTGCAGCTGTCCCAGCTGCTTCGGTTTATCTCGACAACAGACCTGTCAAGTTGCCATGGAGTACAACTTCACTTAAAAGAATGAGGAAGAACAAAGATAAAGCATGGGCTGAATTTGATATTAATCCTTCGGATATTAACTTTAGCTGTGCAAATAGCAAGCAGCATATTTTTGAGGTGGCAGAAATTAAAGCTAAAGTAAATTATGAAAAGAAGAGTACATCTAATTTAAAACAGAATTGCAAATCTTTTTACTCGTATTTGCGTAATAAACGTCAAGTCAAATCAAGTGTTGTTTCTTTAGATAGAGGAGACGGTACACGCACAGATAGTTCATCTGAGTCTGCTGAGGTACTTGCTAGTGCCTTTAGTTCTGTGTTTGTGCGTGAACCACCTGGCCCTCTCCCCCAAAATGAGAGTTATAACAGAGAGGTTATTGATGATATGGAAATTAGCAGTTCTGATATCAAGAAGCAGCTTTTAAAGCTTAATGTTTTTAAGAGTTCTGGTCCGGATGGCGTTCATCCAAAGTTGTTGAAATCCTTAGCATACGATGAAAAGTTTGTTGAAGCTGTAACTGAATTATTTGTTAAGTGTTCAGAAACAGGAGTCCTGCCTGACATTTGGAAGACAGCATCTGTTGTAGCATTGTTCAAAAAGGGTGTTAAATCTGATCCCTTAAATTATAGACCTGTCTCTTTAACTTGTATTTTGTGCAAAGTGTATGAAAAGTTGGTGAGGGCACATTTATTAACATTTTTAGAAGAACGAATTTCAAAGCATCAGCATGGATTTGTGAAGGGTAAATCTTGTCTTTCTAATCTCTTAGAGACATTTGATAATATTCTTGATATTTTAGACGAAGGTGCTCCTGTCGATCTTTTGTATTTTGATTTTAGTAAAGCTTTTGACACAGTCCCCCACTTTAGACTTCTATCTAAATTGGAGGGGTTTGGGGTCAAGGGAAAAGTTTTAGATGTTATAAAAGACTTTCTGACAGACAGAACCATGAGGGTTTGTGTAGAAGGACAATGGTCTGAGGTGAAACACGTGTTATCTGGTGTTCCCCAGGGGTCAGTATTGGGTCCTTTGCTATTTATTCTTTATATAAACGATTTACCTGACAATGTTAAAAATAAGATTAAATTATTTGCAGATGATCTCAAGCTAGTTTGTAATGCAGCTAACCATAGAAGTGTATCTGATGATATTTTAGAACTCGAAATTTGGGAGAGTATTTGGCACTTAAACTTCAATCCTGCCAAGTGTAAAGTAGTCCATATTAATCTGAATAATAATCCTAACTCGAATTATATTGTAAATGGAGTAGAACTAGAAGTATCTGCACAGGAAAAAGATTTGGGGGTTATTACCCATAGCTCCTTGCTTTGGAATGAACAGATAAAAGCATGTATTTCTAAAGCAAATCGTATGATCTGCTGGATTGTAAGAAATTTAGTTATTAGAGAAAAGGTTGTAATGATAGCTATTTATAAAGCTTTGATAAGACCTCATCTTGAGTATTGTGTCCAATTGTGGAATCCAGTTGCGGCTCATGGAAGTTGGGGGACTGTTTTGGAGCTGGAGAGCGTCCAGAGGCGGTTTACCCGTCTTATTGATGAGGTGGGTACTCTTCCATACAGCCGCAGACTGGATATCCTCAATTTGACAACGCTGGCAGAGCGGCGAATACGTGGGGACCTTATCGAAGCTTTTAAAGTAACTAGTGGTTTGACTGAATATGGATCGGGTTTGTTCAGAATGAGCAGATCTGGTCTTAATCTAAAACTAATAGGTGTAATAAGAGTGTAACTAAAGTTAAGAATCTCCAGTCTTCTTTTCTTCCGGAGCGAGTCATTCCTTACTGGAACAAACTCCCTTCGGATGTCAAGAACTGCTCGACAGTTTTAAGCTTTAAAGTTAGATTGGAAGGATTTAAGAAAGAAATGATTTCTAAAAACAGTGTAAATGATTTTTATTTTTGGAATATTTCGAGTGAAGTTTTAGGGAAAATTGAAGGACCCAGTTATTTAAGCAATAAGGAGACACATAATGAATATCTTTGGTTTCATCCTTTTGTGGCAAAGAAGCGTTTTATAAATCTTTATTCCACTGGGAAGTATTAATGAATTATTTATAGATAATGTATTAGATTTTATTAATTAATAAAATTGAATTTGATAAATTATTAATGTTGATGGAAAAATATATTTATTTAAATTATTTTTTTATTTAGTGCAATGATATTTTGTAGATCACTTGTGATGATGTTATGTCATAATCTTTACTTACTTACTTACTTACTTAAGGAATAACTCGCTCTGTACTGGAAGAAATGAACTTTGGAGATTCCTAATCTTTGCCATACTCTTACAACATCTGTTGGATGATACAAGATTAAGACCAGATCCGCTCACTTTGAACAAATCTGAGCCGTACTCGGTCAAACCATTGACGATGTCAATTCATCGCAGCTCGGCGAGGCACAGTAGCGCATCTCGCCAATCTAGCGAGAAGCATAATTGAGTACGCGGCGCGGCACAGCAACGCATCGCGCTACAATTTTTTAATTAATTATAAAAATCGATCAACAATAGGTGGAATGAGAATAAAAGCATAAAAGTTTTCAAGGAGCTAGGTGGTAACTGGTAAACTGTTTAGAAAGTCTGGTCCAGCAAAAAAAGTTGATTTAATGCCAATTCGTTAACGGAAAAGCTAGTGACATACCAATAGCAGTTATTAAGAAACCGGCTCATCTCTTATCCAACATATTAGCAAATTTGTATAATACATGTATTCAAAAAGGCACGTTCCCATCCATATTCAAAATAGGCAAAGTAACTCCTATCCATAAAAAAGATGATTTTTGTGGATATATTGCCAATATTTGAAAAAATAATATACAAACGGCTTTATACCTTTTTCACTGCTAATGACATTCTTTTTTCGAAAAAGAGCACACCAAGCCCATTTTTAATCGACTAAAATTGCTTACTGTTCAAAACTTGTACAAATACTGCTGTATTATATCTAAGATATATTGAATTATGAAATTTCGCACTTCATACTCGTTGTATGGAGTGCTTCTGAA